TAGAAGGTATAAAAGCAGTTATTGAAATATTAAAACCTTCGATAGATACTCAAATCAGAATGATTAATCATGTTAGTATTTAATACTATTTTATAACTTTTACATTTATTTTATGTATTAAAAATTAAATTATTATATATTTATTTATTTATTATTGTATTTTCAATCGATGCAGTTGTTATTATTTCGAGACAAGCATAAAACATTTGGTACTCCACAAGCACAAAGAGCTTGGAAGCAAATGAATCCAGGTAAATATTAAATTAAATAATTATAATTTATTTATCTTATTTAATTGTATAGCACATTGAAATTTAATTTAAATAATTTTATACAACTGAGTGGTGGATGATATATGACACTTGTGTTTCTGAATTACAAAAACTAGCAATCAAAGTGGTTAGTCAAACAACATATGCATCAAATTGTGAACGTAATTGGAGTAAATTTAGTTATATTCACACCAAAGAAACAGATTGAAGTTTGAAAGACTTCATAAATTTATAGATACCTATTATAACATGAGGCTAAAGATGAGACATCAGAAAAAAATGAGCATTGATAAGATAAATAATAGTTTTAATCCTATTAGCTTTGACCATATTTTTGAAGATAATCCACTAACAAAATGACTGCAAGAGAAAGAAAATCCTCTGTTAGATGTTCAAAACTCGAATTAGTTGCCTACAGATAATTTTAATAATGAAATGAATGTTGAACAATCACATCAATTTTAAGAAAAGAATGTATCTCATTTAAGTTCAAGTCCAACACCAAGTCAGAGTGATGATGGTGGTGGTTTAAGTCCAGATGATGATGATAATGGTGATGGTGATGGTGATGGAGATGGAGATGGTGATGGTGATGGTGATGGAGATGGAGATGGTGATGGTGTGAATTTTGGTGATAATATGGATGCAAATTGACCTTACAGCCCACTTGGAGAAGAATTTGGGCTTGCTGCTACTGGTAGACTTTTCATTAATATAGCAGAATACACAGTAAATCCATTTGCTAAATCTAATGAGGGTCAAAGTGCACGTACAGCTCGATCAAAAGGAAAAGCCAAGAAGCATCACTATGATATTTTTAGAGGTTATTCATCTTCAGGTGGGAGACCAAATTCTAGTAACTTTGAGTATAATGAATCATCTGCTAGTACTCAAGGACATTACTATCCATCGGAACAACTTAATTTTCGACCTCTTCATAGTTAACCACCTCCATACGATTATTATCCACCTCAAATGTATCCTCCACCTCAAATGTATCATTTACCACAAATGTATCATCCTCAAATATATCCTCTATCTCAAATGTATCAAGAACAAAAACCTCATGGATGAAGATGGAGTCAACTTGGCTCTTAAAGTGAAGATAGAAAATCTGATCCTCCTCGTCATTCTACCATGTGGTAAGATTTGAAATATATATCAATAATTGTAGTTGATAGAATTTGAAATTATTATATTTTTAAGTTTGTAATTTTATTAAATATAAATGCTTGGTATTTAACATATTATGTTTTGTTAATATTTGATTTGTCTAGAATTAATATTGAATATGAACTTGACCAAGAAAAATTTTGTGGATAAACCAAATATGAATGCTTTTTATAATCTAAATAAAATTGTGAATAATTTTTTTAGAAAATAAAAAGCATAGAGTATTATAAACTATTTTTAAAATTATTGAATACGAGTTTTTTATAATTATTAGATTTTATAATAAATTGTGAAAAAAAAAATTATAACCGCGATAACCGCAGTGACCACAATGATCTTCGTTATATCCGAAAACGTGACAAACACGATGCGATCGAAAACGTGATCGTAACCGCTATTTAAATCTCTGCTTGTTTCTAATAATGTCTGGAAATATTAATACATCTCCATTTGATGTCTCAGTTCCATCATGACCCTCACATATTGTTAAGCGAGTCTAAAAGAAGACGAGGATAAAAAGATAAGGTAAGCATGCTGGAAAGTAAAAACTCGAACATTTAGGTGATGCTGGAAAGTAAAAGGAAAGAAAACTAACTTCTTTTATTTAGTTCCTGCAGGATAAGCAAGCCAAGGTGTATTAACACAATGTGAAACTCATATTCATAGGATTCTGTTGACCATAAACCACATAATCACACCTTAACATAAGCAGGGCGTATTAACACATCAAATCCAAATCATTCTGATTCATAAACCATTAGTAAAAAAACCCAAGTCTACGTTAAATGACAAATATGAAGCTGAAAAAGTATCAAGCCACCGAATTACTTCTAAACACGTACAAACCACCAAAAACAGGATTGTATCCTTTTTTAATGAAAAATTTTGAGCTAAAAGTAAAACAGATTGCACCCCCAAATCACTCCTAAACACAGCCATTTAGCAAACCACCAAAAGACTATATGAATGTACTAAAGTTGAAATCGAATCAACATTAAAAAGATGAATTTGATACTATAAATACAAAACAATCACATTTCCCTTTGGAAGAAAATTTAGAAAGCATAGCAATCAGACAGGACAACAAATCCCAGTCTAATTGACAAAAAAGTGACATCAAAATGACAGCTTTTCAGCCAAAAAGATATCAAATTGCATTCCTCCAAGGCTCCAAGTCTCCTGAACAAAAACTTATCTATAAAAACACCACACTTCAAGTTACCAAAGAGTCTGAATCAATGGGTTTTGCTTTAAAAAAAAAAAAAAAGAAAAGAAAAACCGAAGAACCAAAATCAAAAGTCAATCTATTCATAGAGGCCTACCAAAAAACCAATTAAAACCCATTTTAATTTATTAAAAATGGGATTCGATTCATAAAAAAAAAAGGACACACACACACACACACAAAATTCCACATTTTGAGATCACTCGAGAAATTAAACCAATCCAGGAGACAATAGAAACCCACTTAGATTCACCTAAAAACATAAAAAGTTAACAAATTTGAAGCTAAAAGATCTAACAGTACCAGAGCTTGAGATCAAACCAATTCAAAAAAACTCGAAAAAAGAAAAAGAAAAGCACACCAACCTCTTTTTTCATATCAGTTTTCCTGGCCAAAACAGCAGCGGACAACAACCTAGGCAAACGATCAAACTCAGCAGCCTCAATCCTAGCAGGCCAAACAGACGGGTTTTTATAGCAAAGGAAGACGTGGCGTTGATAGAACTGAACACTGCCAGCGATTGGAGTTTGCTATCTAAAGTCAGGCCTTGACAAACCAAACTCAAACTCACTGTTACTGGGACTAGCTGTCTCAGCTGCTAAAAGACCCTCGTTTGAGTAACTCCCACAAGCACTTCCGATGTAGGAAGTTGGGTCTTGGAGATAGCTGTCAAGATGGTCTGAAACTGTGATTGGAGACGAGGATGATAATGGGTTTGTGGGAAAATTCAATGAGCCTTCTCTTTCTCTGCTACTTGAGAGACAAAGCAGGGGCTTTACGGGTAGGTAAAGGATGTTTTTTATTTTATTTTCTTTTTAGGTTTAAATTCCAGAGTTTCCAGTTGCATGGGAAAGACAGGATTTTTTTTTTTTAAAATTTTACACGTACTTTTTGCTTTTTTTTTTTTTTTTTTCAAATTTCTTGTTTATGTATTTTAAAAAAAATCTGTTCCAAACTTTTCTTTTTATAAATTTTTTTTTGCTTTAGGGCTGGATTTTTCAGTTTTTTTTTTAATATTTTTCTATTGATTTTTGAAAATTTGCTTTAATTTTTTATATTTTAGACTATTACAGCTTTTTTTTTTAAGTTAGATGTGATGATTTGTATATTTATGTAATATAAAATATTACAATTTATATATTTATATTAGATTTTATATAAAAATTATATATTAAAATTTATATGATTAAAAATATATAATATATATTTTTAATTTTATCTATTTATATATAATAATTATTAAAATTTTAAATTAAATTATTTTTATATTTTATTTTCATATTATAATTATATCATTTTACTATATCATTTTTAAATTATCAAATTTATTTAGGGTAGAAATTTTTTAGTTTTTTCTGATTTTTTTTTTTTTGAAATTTTGTTTCAATTTTTGGATTTTTTGGACAATTGCGGCTTAAAGTCTTTTTCAGTTAATGTTTTTGCACCTTTCTTGTTTATGGGTTTAGAGTTTAGACTTGATGAGAGTTAACATTTTTGTACTTTTCTTGTCTGTAGGCTTCTTCCATATTTTAAGCCAATTTTCAAAATTTTGGATTATTTTTACTTTTCAATTGGTTTGACTGCGAAAGATACGTGTTACTGTGAGTTTTAGGACATATATGATAATTTAAAATATAATATATATATCATATAAAAAATATAAAAATAAAATAATTTAAAATTTTAATAATTATTATATATAAATTTAATAAAATTAAAAAAATATAATTCGATATGAATTATAAAATATAATTTATAAAAATATAATTTTTTATATTTTATATGATATAAATATACAAAAGATCAAATTAAGTGTTAAGAAGATCATGATTTTTTTTTCTTCCTTTTCCATCCATGTCATGTCAACAATTTAATTAAAAAAATTCACATGTTTATTTATCAGATTTTCTCTCGTCTAAGTTACTGAAACATTGGTTTAGATTCACCTGCTCATCGCTCAATCAAGATAATGCAAATTAGATAGCTGTCCCCTATTCAGGAATCACTCACAACTTGGACATGAAAAAAGGTATTTTTGACCTAAATGTGCTTGTTAGTGTATCCGCATTGTGTTTTGTATGTTTTATGTTAAATATGTATAAAATTTTAAATTTTATTAGTTTTATGTTTTTTCGTGTTATTTTTGTTTTATGGCATCATATTATATCTAAAATTATCAGATTTTTTTTTGTTAAATCCAAATCCGACCTTGAATTATCATCCAACAAGGGCTTTGGTTTAAGTATAAATGCTTAATTTGTTGCATTAAAATCACACAAGGAGACTTGAAGTTGGGACACCAACTTAACATGCTCACCACCAACAAGAAATCATGGAGGATTCCTGGATGTATTCATTGATTTCAAGGATATTATGAAACAAAATGGCCTGCTGTTTCTGCCAGTCTTTGGGTGACCACTACATCCAAGATTCAAGCCTAAATTTGCTTACTGCCAAAGCTTCATCAACATTTCATTTCAACTGCTAAATCATCAATTAACCTAACAGTAGTCCTATACAGAAGTCAGTTACAGCATGTTCATGCACAAAGATCTGGCAAATGCAATGTCACAGAGGCTTCTCACCAGGCAGATAAGAGTGAGATCCACCCTCAATTTGGTTCTTTCTTCGATTGAAGATGCTGCTGATATTGGGTAAAACCACCTTTTTTGAGACAGAAGACTTCTCTTTTTCCAACTTTCGAGCCTGAACAATTTTCTCTGATGGGTTTTGCTTTTGAATTCTGTAGTGTTGTGGGGATGATTCTGCTGAAATCTGTGCTTCTGCTAGAATCCGAGATGCAGCTTCAGCTGCTTTCTTCTGTTCCCTTTCGCGCCACCTTCGAAGCTCTCCCTCCACTGCTCTCTTCGCTGCTTCAGCCATCTCTGCCCTCTTCAAGGCATCCGCAGTTGTAACCTTCATGTCTTCAATCTCTTTCTGAGTCGCCTCTAACCTCTTGAGGGCCTCATTTTCACTAGCCTTCACAGCTTCTACCTGAGCCACGGCAGCTGCCACTTTCATTTCAGCTAAATTATCAGACTCTTCAGCTTTACGGCTCAAAGACTCAAATTCTTCCCTGGAGATAGTGATATTGGCTCCAGATTCGGAGGTTGAGGAACGTGCAGCATTTGCTTTCTCAGAAAGCATCTTTATCTGATCAAGTGCCCTTATCTCAGCTTCTTTTGCAGTTTCAGCTTCTTCCAGAGCAACTCTCAGCTGCTTTTCTGCTTCCTCAAGTTTACTTCTTGAGGCTTCAGCTTCCAACTTTAGCTTCTCAGCTACCTTCTTCATTTCTTTCGCTTCTCGCCATGCATTTTCTTTTTCCACTGATAACTGTTGGAGAGTTGAAATCATTTCTTCAAAGGCGCCTCTTGCTTTGGATTCCTGTGCAAGGAAAGCTTCAAGCTCTGATATACTTTTCCGAAGCTTGATGTGCAGATTCCCTGCAATAGACTCTGTTTCTGCTTCCTTCTCCTTCAGCTCGGCATGCTCTTTCTTCACATTCTCTAGTTCCACCTTAAGGGACTCCACCAAACTTCTCAAGGAGTTCTCCTCTTCAGTGACTTTTTGCAGCGATTCTTTAGCACCATCTAGCTCTGAAGTAACAGTTCGTACAGACTCGAGATCAGAAGCCTTTGCATCTTCCATCTGCTTCTGCAATGCCCCAGTCTGATGAACTGTTTCAGACAGTTGTGCTTCAAGATTTCGTGTAAGCTCAGGGTCAAATTCATTCTTTAAAGCAAGCAACTTCTGTGTCGATACTTCAAGGGTAGCCTTATATAATAGCCTCTGAGTATTCTTTTCAGCAAACATTTTAGCCTGTTCTTTCTGTGCTTCAAGAGATGCAAGCTTCACTTGTCCAATTGATTCCTGTACAGATGAAATTTCCCTGGAGAGCTCTCCAACCTTCTCCATATTAACCTTAGCTAAATGTTCAGCTCCTTTTGTTTTGTTGAGGGCAGCAATTTTCTCTTCTAAGGATGCATCACAGTGCTGACGATACTTCCTCAATTCTTGTTTTGCAGCATCAAGTTCAGTAATCACAGTCATGTATTGTTCCCTTGCAGTTTCCAAGTCCTGGCTCCTAGAACCATCAGCTCCAGGGAGAATACCCAAATTTGCTTCTTCAATCTGTTTTACCTGATTCTTTGCAGCTTCTGTAGCCTTGATTACAGAATCCTTTGATTCATTAACAGTTTCAAGTTTGTGAGTCAGTTCCTCAACCCTTTTTTTAGCCCTTTCAAGCTCTACAAATGCTTGAGCCTTAGTTGTCTCGGCATTTTCTAGTTGCTCCTTTAACTTGTTCAACTCTTTCTGAGCCAGGTGAAGCTGTGCCTCTTTGGCCGGTACTCTCTGCAGCTCAACAACAAAAAAATTTTAGAAACAAATAAGAGTCCAATATTATCGATCACATAATTTTCATGTAACTAAATTTCTCGGCAATCTATCTCTAAAGCTCTAATTGTGTACTTAGTAATTAAACAACTACGAATAAAGAAGATGCTATATTCATGATCCTGAACGGTAAAGTTCCTACGTTTTAATATTTACAGTCTTTAAAAATGAATAACATGAAAAAAAAAAAGGAAATGAAAATTTTTAATGTGCCATAAATACCGTATCCAGACACAAAAACTTTATACTACTATGCCTTAACACAATTATTCAGGTGAAAGAGGTAGGGAAACTTCCAATAGCGAATAATACCTCTGCAGAGTGAGGTTTTGCCCTTTTTATGGCAGGTTTTTCACCAGAGAAAGCACCTTCACCGAAAAGAGTGACGGCATCTTTAACAGATTGAAAAGGTGCACTAGTGTCTATCTCTCCCACCTCCGATTTTGGAGAGTCAGTCGCGTTCTGGCGTCCCTTTGTAACCATAATGCTTTGCTTGTTTATTATTTCACTGAAATTCACAAAATAAAATAAAGAAAAAAAAAATTGCCATGAATCAGATAAAGGAAAAAATTTGCCATGAATTAGATAAAGGAGGACAACTTAATAAGAAGTGAACATCCAACAACCAACACGTCTCAGCAGAAAGAGTGCAAACTATAATCTCAAAGAAACTTAGTTTTCTCCTATAAGGCCGAATGATTCTTTGGCACTATTACAAATCTCAAGATCTTAACAAAATGTGCTGATATGTATTGGGCAATCACAAACAAGGTCAGTAACTTCAGGCTACGAAAAATCCTCACAAATCAAATGGGCTAGTAGCTTTAGAGTAAAATAACATTAATCCTATGCACCTGATGAAAGTTATGGTATAAGTCTGTCCTAGATTAAATAAGTAATGCCGGATCAGTTTCCATCGAATGAAACCCATACAAATTAAGCAGAACTAAATACTAGAATAGCAACAACTTTGTTGCATAACTTAACATTTCCTTTTATGAACCGGAAATTTCAAGCCTCCACAGATTGATTCATAACCTTTCGAACACAACCAATATCTATTCGAACTCCCTTTACTTGTAGGAGTACATCTTGGATTTGTCGATTATGTTATGGTCGGAGTCCCACTCATGACAACCTGGTTGAATTGGGAGAAGCTGTAGGTATTATTGCGGGGCAATCCATTGGAGAACCGGGGACTTAAAGCGAAAAAACTCCATTACAACATCCATGTAACTAGATTCCAGTAAAAAATTAGTCAATACCATCAAGATTTCAACATCAACTATTGATCATGCAACTTTCTTGTCCTACATTAAACAAGTAATGCCTGAATGGTTTCTATCTTACGAAATCCATACAAATTAAGCACAATTAAATACTAGAGCAGCAACAACTTTATTGCATAACTTAACATATCCTTTTACGAACCGAAATTTTCAAGCCTCAACAAATTATTAACCCGAAAAATCGATATAGCAAAAGCTCCAATACATCAACGAAATTAGATTCCATTTAAAAAGTTTTCAATACCATCAAGATTTCAACATCATAATAAAAATCACACTATGAGTGAAGCTGACCATACTTTAAATATGCTTGGTAAATCTTCAACCAAAGAACACAAAACTTTAAATTCTTTTTCCCCTGAAATTTAAGCCACAAAACCCTAGTTCAACATCAAAGATATTTTGAAAGAAATATCTTACAAGATTTCTACAATTCAAGAGCATGACAAAATTGACTTCTCAAGTCAAGGATATGAATGGAATGAAATGAAATGTAAAGAAGGTTTTATAAAACAAACAAAAAACATATAAAAAACAAAACTTGAAAAGCATAAGAAGAACAAAGAACTTACCTTTTAAGAGCTAAACCGAATAAAAACAACAAAAACCCAATAACAAAAAGCTGATCCAACAGTCAAAAATCAAAGAATCAACTTCTCTGAAAGCCCTTCAAGTCTTTATGATCTTCTTTGATCTTCATACTATTCTTTCTTTCACTCAAAAACCCTTTTAATCTTTCAACCTAAAGACCAAAACCCACCAAGAAAAATTCAAACTTTGGACAAGACACTGTCAAGATAATTTGGTTAAGAACTTTTCTCTCGGCCAAGAAAAAAAGCAGGCTTCTTGGAAAAGAAATTTTCGTGGGTTTTAATTAAAAAGAGCTTTAGAATCTTCCTTTTTAGTGTTTTTGAAGGATTCAAAAAGTAACTGATGATTCATAGAGAGAGAAAGTTCAATTGAATATTCGAAAGCTGTTTGAAACAAAATTTTATGTCAGCATAGTGAAGAGAGAGACAGAGGGAGAGACTGTTTCATTTGATTGAGAGAGAAGTTAGCTTAACGAGGTTGTACTTTTGGGACAGTTATGTGGAATGTTTAAATTGAAAGGGTAACTCTGCCTGAAAGATACTAGAAACGAAAGAATGGGAATGGATGCCACATTGAACTCGAGTGATCAGATGAGTAGTGACTACGATATAATTAAGCCATGCAGATTCGATATAGTAAGAAGACATAGTAAGAAGTTTAAGTTTGATTTGGAATTTATTCTTTGAAATTTAATTTAAGTTTGAATAAATTTTAATTTTTAAATTTAAGTTTGACTTGAAATAAATTTTAAATTATTTAAATTTAATTATGTTGATTTATCGGAAATTTTTTTTTTATATTTAATTTTAAATTCGATTATATGTATTTAAATTTAAATTTATATATAAATAAAATAATCAAAAAAATATATTAAAATATAAAATCTCAATTAATCTTATCACCTATTGAAATCAAATATTAAAATATTAAATTCAATTCGTTTGATAAATCAAATTATTCAAATTTAAATTCGGTTTGACAATGATCAAATTAAATTTAAATTTTATTTGAATTAAATTTGAATGATTCATAAATTGATATATTATTTATACCTCTATCAATGACAAAATGACAATGATTGCTAGTTATAAGTGTTAAAAAGAGTTTGGGTATGGATCCAATTGGTTGCCGTTCCTACATCTCTCATGTATAATTTGTCTTCCAACCTTTTTCTATTCTTATTACTTTCTTTTCTATATAATGCAAATTTTGGTGTTTGGGACTCATTATCTTAGTTTGTGAACGTCCATGATATGTGTCCTAAAATAATGGAAAGAGGAACACCAACTGGATTACCAGTTATAAGCTAATGAGATTGAAACTATACCAGTGGGCAAGAAAATGAACAACAAAGACTGAAATTTATTGAAGTTGTAACAAGAATATTTTGTTTGAATCCCACATGACTCTTATTACCCCAATCTTTTTTTCAGCCTCTTCAAATGTGGTACCTGTGGCTTCAGATGTGTAGGGTAGCTTCACCCATCTATCAGCCTTTAGCTCAAGTACATCCACAACACACGTCCCTGATTCCTCCAAGCTCTTTCCACACCATTTACCATGCACCTGATGTACTTTTCCCTTACCAATCTCCTCACCTTTCCCATCTACAAGCACAACAAACTGACCTGGCTTGCATTGAACAAATTCTGCAGCACCAAAATCAACAAATTCTGGTGCCTCTGGGTTTTCACTGGTGTTCATTCTTGACATGATCCGAGTGCCTCGGGTATTTGAGGGGCCAGTCTCTTGACCAGGACTATTAGGTGCTCTTAATGAATGACCTTGTTGTGGCCCACCTTGCTTTCCTGCAAAAGCATTGTCAGGCCCCGGAAGTGGACGAGCATCCTTACTTGCACGTGCAAGCCTGGCCTTTCGATTGTTGAGCCTGATGCCGGTATGTAAGACAAATTAGTTTCACACAAGAACCATTGAACTGATAAAAGCCAATTACACCAATTGATGCTTTTTAAGCTACAAAAAGAGTGGCTTCCTTACCAGTTTCTTAGCTGTGAACATGTAACCTCTGAGCCCTAAGAAATGAATGTAGAACTAGTTTTAGTCAAGAAATATGCTACTTCAAGTGGGGAGTCACATCAAGCATAAATTACTAGATCTATTTTACGTACATGATGACTTAGTTTATCAGCCCATGATTGTATAGAAGCTGCATTTCGCTGCATTTCAGGTTCATCCAGAAGGGCCCTTTCTATTATTGTCACCTGTTCATCATTCATTATAGTTAGCTTCCTTTTCCTCCGTTGCTTTTCTTCAGTTTGAACAGTTTCAACTTTTTCATCCTCTTGAACTCCTGCATGAGTATTTTCTCTGAGACTCTCTACTAAATTGTCAATTGCGTTTTTTCCCTTTGTGGAACTTGTATCCAAACCACTTGTTTCAACATTCTTAACATCTCTGTCAATCTCTTTCAAAGCACTAGGCGTAAGAGATTTATCTTTATCGTCCATCATGCCTTGCCTTGTTATATCGTCAGCTTGATCCATGTGATTGTTTCTGACATAAAACTGCTCTTCCTCCTGGAAAGCGAATTCTCAGACATTTCCTCTTTCAGGTTACCATTTCGGTTATTAAACCTTGCTTAGCGTTGGATTTGAAAGAAACGGCAAAATGAAAAATAAAGCAAGAAATTTTCAAGTGAATCAATGCCACAATGATAGCCTTTGACATTAAAAACTGCATTTGAAACAATTTAAGTACACTAAGATCACTGGTCTAAAATATAATTGGAATAGAATCTATCTTACTTTGCCTCTCTGATCAAACTTTTTCGGCAAATACAGTTCAAACTTTGAGCCAACTTTAAATTTGTTTAACCAAAACAAGGTTCTGAATGTAACTAACAGTAAAAACAAGTGAACTTCCAGCGTTCACCTGATGATTCTTGCAGATATATTCTTTATGAAACTAATTCTAAAAAATTAACTCCGCAAATCTAGTTTCCTATTTCTTTCCAACAGAAGCAGATACTTTCGGAAACACTTGAAATATAACAAAGAAAGGAGATATGTACCAACCACAGCGGAGGGATTGGAGGTGGGAATAATACTAATCATTTATAGGATACAGAATATTTACCTGAACCCGGTTTTCTTCAAATTCAGCAGGATTTACCAGTGGTTGTACTCGGTTAAAGAATGCTCTGTAAATAAAAAAAAAAGAAAGTTGTTCAACAAGAGAAATCAATAACGTCCGCAATCCATGAATTCAGACAGAGAAGAGGCAGAAATGACCTTGAAACATTTGAGTATTGCAAACAAAGGCTTTGGAGTGTGTTATAGTTGCAGAAAATTAAAGTTGTAGGCACAACCTTAAAGGATGGTTAATATATGAATTATATCTCTAACGATAGCATATAAAAAAGAAGTTTTCATTAAGTTTTAGTTAGTATGAATACGTGTGCGCTGAGTGTGGTGATTCAAACATTTTCTACAAGAGTTTGCAAGAAAGCAGTACTCAAATTTATACAGGAAGGCACAATATAGAGAAAATTTTCAACAAGTTCTAATGCTACTTGAACTTCGGAAGAATTTCGTAAAAAGAAATGAACTCCGGATCACCTCAAGAGCCGCATATCATCATCGTTCAGAAAGGTAGGAATTAAAGATTCCGCGTGGCATGACAGGGAACCTACATGAACAGGTTACTTGTAAGGAACAAAAAAAAGTTGCAACTATGTCCTACTTGGAGGGAAATGAAAACCAAATTTAACAAGATACTTACGCATGTTCCTACAAATAGCAGCAGCTTTTTGTGGACCAGAGATAAAGGCAGGACTGGGTAATAGCTTAGGTGGATCCGTTTGCAAGCACCCAAGAAACTTTTGAAGGAACAGGTTCCTCTCCTGCTCTGTGGATTAAAAGACTTAATTCAATTAACATTTTAAAAAGAATAGCACGAAATTCAAAGAGAACTTGCCATCACCCAGGTGGAACTTTACCTTCACAGATGTTAGGAACAAAACAGTGAAGATTTGCAATCATTTTGACAAATAAAGATGTTCTTTGATGTACATAGGAAGCCTGAGACATGTTGTTGTTTGGGCTGAGAGTGAATTCCAGATTTGTTGTATTTGATAGGTCTGATGATGAAACTGAATCTAAAGCCCATCCAGCTGCAGGAAATAGTTCATAATACAGCGTAGCATCTTCCTCCCTTACAGGTAGATCAGCAGAACACCACATGGATAGAAAATCTCCATGAGAGAGTGAAAATATTGCGCTCAAAAATTCTGTCTGAAGGAGCACAAAAGAGGTAGTCACAAATCTTACTACAAAAGATGTCGAAAAGGCATAACAATTATATCAAATTTACATGTCAATCCAGCAGAAAATTTGCATATTTTGTGACCAAAATATATGAGGCTTTGGTCGTCAGGGAGTACATAAGTTCTGATAGAAAAGAAGTTATAGCTAATACACTCTTTGGAATATAAAGTCTCAGAAGTAATGAAATAGCAATTTTCCGAAAGCGGTTAGAAATGAAATCAAAGGAACAAATTCTGAAGTGCGATCATAATAACTTACAAAGTACACAGTGATGTAAGATCGAAAGTTTGAATCATCAGAGAAGATATCAACTAGACGCATTGCATTAAGTTGAAGAAGCCCCATAGGATAGGTTCTGTCAGGACCAGCACTGAGAAGTTTGGGATCTTTACTAAGTCCATTCTTCAGCAACTCAAGGACCTGCATCATTATATTAATTGTATTAAAGAACAAGCATCCAGGCACTGAAAAGCCGGCTTTAGAAGAGAGAATCCAGGACATAACTTGCATAAGCGCCAGAAAACTAACCTCAAGTGTAACAGCTTTCGCCAAATCAAGGCTTCGTGGAGAGCTGGCAACCTCGTCAAGGTAAGAAATGCTTTCTGCTTCACACAAATGCAATAACTGCATAAACAGGACATTTCATTCACATAAGTGTCATATTAAAAAAGAGCAGGAGAAGATTACAAAGCAGGTTAGACCTTCACATGTATATCAAAAACAAATATCCATGACTAGGACTTACAATTGACAGGACTTTAGCTTTCAGCCTAGATAATGCAGCCATGACTGTAGAAGATTCTTCCAAATATGGTGAATGTAATTTCAGGATGGATTGAGCCAGAAAAAGAATACCACCCTTTCTGCATAGTTCCTGAACAAGAACCAAAACAAAATCCCATTGGTCTGCTCAAAAAATTAAATAGATCCCAGTAGATCACAATAATAATTTCAATAAGTAGAACTGATAGGACTCAAATATTGACAGTCTGTGATGAGCACACTTCGCTTTTATCACAACCATGATCTTTTTTTTTTCTTTTTTTTTTTTATTGCCTTTAACAACTTAGATCTCAGTTTCTTTCACTAATAAGCTCTCTCTCATGTTTCCACAAGCAAGTGCAGTTAAAAATCTGACTATGACAAGGGTAAAAGTTTTGGCTACAAGAAATTAATACAGTACTTCATACCAGATGAATAGATAAATGAAATGCTAGTACACAAACCTTATTCCTCAGTAACCGCTCCTGAAATGGCTTTTGTTGGCACAATAACTGAAGGAACTGTAAAGAAGCCTCACATTGTTGGCAAAGATAGTTAACCATTGATTCAGCAGTTGGACTTGACTTGGCACAAATATCAGAACGCTGAGCAGACAGCTTGTTTTGGAGAAACCTGACAACTAGATGAACTGCTCTGCAAGCTACATCCATAAACATGTCAACCTGAAGTGAAATTTCGATCAATAAGGTGCACAGACGTATTGGACTGAAGAAGTTAATAAGACCATAGTATTGTCATTAATTGCCTAGGAAATGGCATGTGAAGGATAGAAGAAAATAAATCGAAGGATCAATAGCCTGCATATTCCATAAGAACTTTATCCAACCCAACCATCTTCCCTCAAAATTAAGTTAACTAAGTTGTACCTTAGGATGTGCCACTATCACTAGAGCCAGATCTTGCCACTGTGAAGATATACATCCAGTCAATAGGTACAGACTACATGCCACAAGTGCTGAATGCAAAAGAGGCACAGAACTTGAATCCTGGATGTCCTACAGCATGAACACAAGTTTGAATAAAGATAAAAATAAATTTGTGGAAGATAAGACATAAGGAAAGGATCAAAAAAGTACCAGGCTATAGTTATTGAGAACAAGCAGCTCGTAAAAGACCATATCAATCAGTTGTTCTGATACTTTTACATCATCAAGCAAAATCTGTGGACATTATAAAGGGAAAATTGACTAGGAGAAAAAAACTCAGTATGCTTGCTATGTAGTAGATAGATTGATGAAAAGTGAGAAATGACGAACCAATTCAAAAGGACATTCACAGCAGTAGAGTGAGTTATAGGATGGAGAAGTGACTTATGCAACTAACAGGTACATAACCAAATTCATGTCTTTACAGTACAGGGCATTTCATAGAGCAAAGGTTCAGACTCGAATTGTGGCTAAAGTCCCTTAGAAATTTGCAAGATATCGCAAATTTAATCTTGACTTAATCAACGATTATGAGAATCTCAAGGGATTGGTGTGGCTGGCTACCTATACTAAGTGTTACAGTAACTGGAGACAAAACATAGGTTGTTCTCTAAGTTATAGCTAAGAAATATTTCCAATCTCATAATTAAGTCCAATTCCAAACCTTGAGATGAAAAAACATGAAGAAAAAGTAGAAACTTAGGTTCATTACTTTTTTTTTTTCCTGTGGGGGCAGTGAGTTCAATTAAACCAAATGCCCTTAGCTTAAAGCTAAGCAGTGAAATATTTATCCAACAGTATCACCCTTCCTGCCTTCCCCTCATTTTGATGTATTAACAATTTTCCCACAGAATAGTGAAAGGTACAGAGTTTCCTGCAAGGAAATTGATAAAAAAGGATTGTACTATTTTTATAGTTCGATTTCCGTCAAGTCCTTATCATGTGCAAGAACAAGCACAACAAATAATGAACATAAAGAGAACTAAAATCATCAGAATAGAAAATAATCAAATGAGTATTACTAAGAGCAACCTGCTCAAGTTTAGTATGGCGAGGGGCTAATTCACACAAGGAATGCAAAAGCCGGATGCCACATAACAAGTATCTGAGCAGGGATTCATCTCTGTCAGATGACATGAGTACTGCAATAAGGTGCAAAGGAAGAAATCCTGCAAGTTTTTCCACATCAATCTGAAAGATAACACAATTTAATATGAGATGTTTCAGTGAAAAAGCAAAGAATGATACCACAAAAATAGCAAATGAGGTGGTTGTACCATTATTTCTAATCCTTTTTCAGTAACAAAATGAATGCTAAAGTCTTCAGACTCTCTTAGCAACTTATTAAGCTCCTGTGAGTTAAGCTCATGAATCTCCTTAACCACTGAAATCAAGTCAATAGCCTGTTCATATAAACCAAAACACATCTGAGTCTCTGATGGAGCTTAATTTTTCTTTCTTGGTTAACGCACAGAACTAAAAAGTCTAGATTAAAAAGAGATGGAACAACCAGGAAAAAAAGTTTTTCTATTTTGTTTCTAAACTAGAGGGTGCAAATCCAACTTTCAATTCAGATAAGAACATCAACCTGTTCAAGACTGCATATTGCTTCTTCCTTGCCTTGCCTCATTTTCAAAAACCTAGCAGCAAGCAAACAATGTATGACTACAGACTAAAGAGCATATTTGCTACTAACATGAGGTTTATCCACATAAGATAACAACAATTGCATTCCACTATTTCAAAGAGCCAGAATAATGGATTCCTAGCAACTTCTCCTCAAACCAGCCATTGCCAAAAAGTTTTAACCTTACAAGATTTATCAGACATTCAGACTTATGGCCTTGAAACTCACTAGTGCTTCCAAAACTAGTTCCTAACAAGAAAAAGAACCACCCATTTTCATCATCCCCATGTTTTTCTTTTCACTGAAACGTCTTCCAAGATTGCTAAACATGCATCCTACATTGATTTCTCACTTCTCCTCAAACCGGCCATTGCCAAAAAGTTTCAACCTTGCAGGATTTATCAGACTTATAGCCTTGAAACTCACTAGTGCTTCCAAAAGTAGTTCCTAAAAAGAAAAAAAAAAAAAACCCTATTTTCATCGTCCCTATGTTTTTCTTTTCACCAAAACAGCTTCCAAGATTGCTAAACATGCATCCTACACTGATTCAATCTGAAAAAATAACTCCACCAACCCAAAAAAAGCACCTTCTTGACCAAAAAGTCAGCATTTGAAAAAAACTATAAGCTACACAACTCTTTAAAACTCCAAAGCCATTCTTGATTAAAAAAGAATTCACCAAATGCTACATTCAATCAACAAAAGCAAACAAACAAGCTCAACGCCATAAGGAAAAGATAAGGGAAAAAAACTTACCTTGAAAGGAAAAGCTTTAGAAAACCCCGAATTGAAACTGAATAAGAAAAACACTAGGAAAATAAAAGAAGGGTCAGAATAAAAATTTAACAACCACCATGGGCGAGCAGTTGCTTGTTTCTTTGTAGCTGCCAAGAGTTAGTTTTTTTGGGAACCGAAACAGAGAGAGAGAGAGGAAATGCTGCTGTGAAGGGTTGTACATTTGGAGGAAATATTTAATTTTTTTATTAGTATTAAAGGGTAGATTTGTCTTAAAAGAACTAGATGAAGAAGCGCTGCCCTGGGGAGGGAGTTTAAAATGGGGATAAATAAGGATTGCCTCGTCCGTAAATGGTGAATATTAAAATATAAATATATTATAATTAGTATTTTATAGATTTATTAATTTGTGTATCTCTTTTTATTTATTTTGTGTCAAATATAAAATTTATTGTGTTATAATTCACGTCAATACATTAATCTAAAATATATATTTTTTATTTTTTATCAAATTTATATATTATTTTTATTAAAATTTTAAATCATATTATTTTTATATTTATATATATATTTTTGTGTTTAAAATTATCTAATCCAGTGTTTTATTACCCTTCGAAGACAATAGGGAATATTTTACAAACTACAAAATTACTATTATATATATTAATTCATTTATATGTATTTATTTATTTTGTGCGTAATACAAAATTTATTGTGTCATATATTGTCCAAATTATCTTATCCAAATATTGTCTTTCATATATGGACATAAGAAGATAAAATTGGGTGTTCAAATGGGATATTGTGTTTATCTGTTGTGGGTTCCATTTTTTCTGCCTATACGTATAGGGTTGTAAATGAATTGAATACAAATGAATAAAGATATATTTATGATTTGTTTATTTATTTTTAAAAATGTTTAGATTTGGTTTGTATTTGATAAAAAAAATATTTTGTTTGTTTGAGTTCGATTTGTTTAAATGATAAAATATTTACATTCGAATTATGTTTGATTCGTATTTGATTTAATTAAATTAAACAAATTCGCTCGTAAACAATAAACGAATATATTCACGAACATATATAAATGAATACATTTATGAACAATAGATAAATTATAACTAAATAAAGTTAAACAAATAAACTTTAAATGAATACAGACGAATCCAAACGAATATAAATGAACCTTAACATAGGATTCAGATAAAAAATAAATATATAATTTTGTTAGTATTATTATAAACAAATAATAAATGAACAACAAATAAATGAGTTTTAAACAAATTTTAAATGAATTTGTTCACGAATATTAGCAAACTAAATATATTTTTGTTTGTACTCAATTCGTTTAATAAACGAAATAAAAAAAACTATTCAAAATCAATTATTAAATTTAATAAATGGATATAAATAAATAAAAATTGAACATATTCATAAATTAAAAGTTTTATTCATTTATATAGCTAATTATGCAATTGCTCTCCCCTGTCATTGCCCCATGGCATTCCCTTATTCCCACAGGTAATTCATCCCTATTATAATGTTAATAGGGAAAATTATTTTATATATAATAGGGATAATGTCACGAATGACATCTAATGAGATTTTTTTGTAATGCTAAAAATTCTTTTTTGTTTTTTATTTTTTATTTTTTAGTGATATGTATTATACATTACAAAATATTACTCAATTTTATATGGTTGACCAGAAGCTTTGTGTTACATAATATATAATGCAACTTGCTCATATTTTAGCATTATATAATTATTATTGAATGTACAATGAAACATACCATGGTTGGTTGAGCAAATTAAAATTAATTTTATTTTTCCAAAATGTGTTAACTGTTTAATGAATTTAGGAATTAAGATCAAATTTGTCGCTTTACCATAAATCAATATTGAATTGTGTCAATATATTTTTATCATTATATTTTTAATTTTGTTGATTTTATAACATAAAATAATAGAATTTATAAAAATTTATAGTTTACATTAATAAATTATGAATGATTGAATGTAACACTTCAATTTTATATCGAGATGCTATAAAAATTTATTATGATATATAAATAAATCTTTAAATTTATATATATATATATGAGATATTTTTTATCGAACAAAATTATAAAATTGAATTCAAGTAGACAATGGTATAATTTTTCACGTTGAATGATTTATATGATTTTTTCTTTAGCAAATCAAAAGAAATGTCAATGCCTGACTCAATAGTTTAAAATTGATGAATTTGAATCATTAAAATGATCTATTTAGCTACAAATGAACAGAACAAAAGTCCAAATTGTTAACCATTAAAATAAATCAGTTGAGGAAGGCTTCAAACTAATTCCATCTGCCTTTGAATTGGTTTACAAAATTTGCCAACAGTCACATGGGACAAAAAGGCCAAGTATGACCAAATCAAATGAAATCTTAATGTAGTTCAAAATTAGGTTTTTACTAAATTAATTGATTAGATTAATTTAATTTGGTTAATTGATTGATAATTGAATTAATTTTAATTAATTAAAAATAATTTTTAAAAAATTTTATTTTTAATTACTTTAATTCAAAAATTAAATTAATTGAAATATAATAAAATTTAAATATATGAAATTGATCATTTCATTTTATTAATTAAAGTTTTTAATTTAATAATTTAATAATTGATTTTTTATTGAATTATTTTATTTGATTGTTTTAATAAGAGAAATTACAAATTAAAATATGATTTATTATTTAATTATTAAAAAATTAATTAAATTAACCTAATTAAATTTGATCAATTAATTTTCAAACTTAATAATTTAATTTAATTAACCAAAAAATAATAATATATTTTAATTAATTTTAATTCAAAATTAACAAAAAATAACAAATGAACTTCTTTAATACTTCCTACAAATCTTACCAATATACCCCAATGCCTTCTGCAAATCTTACTTACATTAATATTTTTTTCAAATACAAAATATGTCATTAACTCAAAATCAGCTTACTTAAATTAATGGAAACCTCGTATAAACCACAACAAATATATTCAAACATATCGATATAGAAAACTATCTAATGTGAACTTTATTTACTTGAGATTTATAGATACCATATTTGATATATTCATTATTGATGAGTATTGAGAAAAAGTATATTTTTAATTTTTTAAAGACAAAATACGTCATTATTTTAAAATTAATTAAAGTTATATTTAAATTATATCGTATTTTTAATATGATATAATTAAATTTAAATATTAATTTTTATTAAAATTTTTTTATTTATAATAATTTTTAATCTCATTAAAATTAATTTTATCGTTCATTAAAATAAAATATAATTTAAATTACCGTAAAAAATCATGTAAACCACTACGCACACACCATTTGATCGTGATTATTCTACTAACGTGTAATATACATGGACCGAGGCGCCGCCTAGAATATCTGGTTGACGTCAAAATCGTTTGTTTTTCAATAAGAATCTCAACAATCGGTAAAAAGCTGACATCACTTCCTGTCCATGAGAAAAGGCTTCCATTTGACCATTGCCTGTCAAGCAATTTGAGGATTGCTACAAAATGATAATTCCTTTTATGTCAGCTTGCATTTTGTACATCCGATTCCATCTTGAATTTCATGCTTGAATCATGCTCACGCATGCAATATTTTATCATAAAATGATAATCAAATTCATTCTAATTAAATTTTATTATTTTTATATTTATATCATATAAAATATTAAAATTTATATATTTATATTATATTTTATATAAAAATTACGTATTATAATTTATGTCAATATAAAAATATAAAATATATTTTTAAAATTTATTAAATTTATGTATAATTATTGTTAAAATTTAAATATCATCATTTTATTATATTTTTATATCGTATTTATATCGTATTATTATATCATATTTTAAATTATTAAATTTAATTTCAATTCAATAATATTATCTTTCAAATTAAAACAAAATATAAATTAAAATTTTAGTAAAAATTATGTATTAAAAAATATATTTTATATTTATTATATTAATATAAATTATGATACATAATTTTAAAATAAATATGATATAAATATATAAATTTTAATATTTTAATTTGAATGCACAATTGTCTACATGCCGCTGTCGACGTGACCAAATAATTCTTAGTAAATGGCTTTTGATAGCAGCCGAAGACAACAGTTTAGATAAGATAGCTTTCATTTGATTTTGCCCAAAAGTCAACGTAAAAATTTCACTATAAATAGACAAACAGATCAATGTATGGCTCCACAACATTATTAAATTATTTCTGAGTTCTGTTTAGGTTTGTTTGAAAGATGGGAAACGAAGCATCATATGTTCATTTGTTTGAGACAAAGAAAGCTAAAGGCATAGCCCTTTACAGACTCTTTGCAGCCTCTGTGTTTGTGGGAATATGTTCTATTTGGGCTTATAGAGTGAGTCATTTACCAAGAAATGGAGAAGATGGGAGATGGGTTTGGATTGGTTTGTTTGCAGCTGAGGTTTGGTTTGGTTTTTACTGGCTACTCACTCAAGCCCTCCGCTGGAACCCCATTTATAGACATACTTTCAAGGACAGGCTCTCTCAAAGGTTTCCTCTCTTGAAAACTCTTTTTCTCTATATGATAATCTTTGCTTTATTCATATTCAAATGCCTACAGAGACGAACAGCTCAGTTGGTTCATGCAACCAACCTTTAAAGTAACGTTGTCTGGATTTCCATTCCTAGGCTGTCGTCTCTTTTACTCTGCATAATTATAGATATCAGTAATGGAAAAAACCTTTGGCTCAAATTTCTTGATTTTTGTTTAATCAGATATGGAAATGACTTGCCTGGAGTGGATATTTTCGTGTGCACGGCAGATCCTCTAATAGAACCACCAATGATGGTTATTAACACTGTTTTATCAGTAATGGCCTATGACTACCAACAAGAGAAGCTTAGTGTGTATCTATCTGATGATGCCGGTTCATATCTTACCTTCTATGCTCTCATGGAGGCCTCTCATTTTGCTAAACACTGGATACCATTCTGCAAAAAGTTCAATGTGGAACCAAGATCTCCAGCTGCTTACTTTAAGTCAGTTTCTGACTCACTTGACACCAAACAGGCTAAAGAATTAGCAACTGTTAAGGTACTAATCTGTCATGTCTTGAATTAATTTATTTCAAAGTTTCATGATCTTTCAATCTCAATCTCTGCCTTCCTGTAGAAATTATACAAAGAAATGGAGATTCGAATTGAAGCTGCCGCCAAGCTAGGTTGCCTCTCTGAAGAAATGTATTTGAAACATAAGGGATTTTCTCAATGGGATTCATATGTTTCACAAAGTGATCATGACACTATGCTTCAAGTAAGTGAAATGCTGCATTCTATTTAATGATATGCACCATTTATAACATTTTCAAGAACTTAGTGCTGATGTTGAATAACAAAATTTTGCCAGATATTGATTGATGGGAAAGATCCAATTGCCACAGATGTGGAAGGATGTAGGTTACCAACTTTGGTGTACTTGGCTCGTGAGAAGAGACCCCAACATTTCCATAACTTCAAAGCTGGAGCTATGAATGCCTTGGTAATTCAAATCCTGATTCAGGCTCCGTATGTTTCGCAGAAAACGATTTCTGCATTTTCCGGTGTTGGTTTGGCAATGTTTAGGATATGAGAAGATGAAAATATGATACGAACTGAAATCTTTTGTTTTCATTCCACCCTGCAGATAAGGATATCATCAAAAATTAGCCATGGACAGATCATTCTGAATGTAGACTGTGATATGTACTCAAATAATTCGCAGTCGATCCGAGATGCACTTTGCTTCTTTATGGATGAGAAAAAAGGCCCTGAGATTGCATATGTGCAGTTTCCCCAGAACTTTGATAATATTACCAGGAATGAAATTTATAGTAATTCAATGAGAGTAATTAATGAGGTATGCATTGATCTAACCGAGCTCTGCTGACAAAAAACTATGCTGTTTTAGTTCTTCTGCCTCTCATTTTATGATATTTCAATCTAATTTTCATGGAAATGAAAGGTGGAATTCCATGGTCTGGATGGATATGGGGGCCCCCTCTATATTGGAACTGGTTGTTTTCACAGAAGAGATACTCTATGTGGGAGGAAGTTCACTCCAGGATCTATAAACGAATTTAAGATCGAAAATAATGTAGAAAGAGATGAAACCATTCCTGAATTGGAGGAAAATTCAAAGGTCTTTGCAAGTTGTACATATGAAAAGAACACTGAATGGGGAAAAGAGGTATGTTTTTTGTATAATTTTCATGTCGTGTTTTAGATTACCAGGATGCATGTATACATACTTGAACTTATTGGATGATTAATTGCAGATGGGATTGAAATATGGGTGTCCAGTTGAAGATGTGATTACGGGTTTATCAATTCAATCCAGGGGATGGAAATCAGTGTATTATAATCCAGCAAGGAAGGCATTTTTAGGAGTTGCAACAACCACACTTGGTCAAACACTAGTGCAGCACAAGAGATGGTCTGAAGGTGATTTTCAAATTTTGCTTTCAAAGTACAGTCCTGCTTGGTATGCCAAGGGAAAGATTAGCTTCGGCCTCCAACTTGGATATTGCTGTTATTGCTTTTGGGCTTCTAACTCCCTGGCAGTGCTATTTTACTCTATTGTTCCTTCCCTTTATCTTCTAAAAGGGATTTCTTTGTTTCCACAGGTATGTATTCTTTTTTTCCTTGTTTTTTTTTACGTAAGAGATCACGGTCTGAGAATAGTAAAAATGATTGCAAGTATTAAGATTTAATTTCAAACCTGTCAGATACTACCTTTTAAAGATAATTACATGCTGTGAGAGATCCAGGATTTTTTTTTCTAATGGTGACTACTTATAACATAAATAAAAAATTGCAGACGGATTTACAAATTTTATAAACGGAAATGTTGTCCAAAGAGAAAATTTAGAGGTGTCCTGTAGAAAATTTTCCTTCAAATTTTTTTATTTTCCAATCTTTGGGTGTCATGACACCTTATTTCTTCATATGAATCTGTCATGCATGAATCAAATGAGTTAAGTTTCAAGTTTTTTTTTTTTTTTTTTCATTCAAACCATGCGTATTTCAAAAATGAATCCATTTCTCTTGATTGACTTGGATTAACTGAATTTCTGTATGTTCATATCCAGTTGTCAAATCCATGGTTTATTCCATTTGCCTATGTGATAATTTCCAACTACACCTATAGCCTGGTTGAGTTTCTATGGAGTGGTGGCACAGTCCATGGTTGGTGGAATGATCAAAGAATATGGCTTTACAAAAGAACAAGCTCCTACCTCTTTGCCTTCATCGACACCATTGCAAATTCACTAGAATTTTCTGCAGATTCAGGATTTGTGATCACAGCCAAAGTCTCTGAACAAGATGCCCACAACAGATATTTGAAAGAGATAATGGAGTTTGGCGCATCCTCTCCAATGTTCACCGTATTGGCAACAAGTGGTTTGATAAATTTGCTTTGCCTGGCAGGATTTCTTAAGAACGTGTTCATTAATGAGGGCAATTTCAGGTTCTATGAGACAATGATGTTGCAAATTCTTCTTTGCAGCCTTCTAGTTCTGATCAACTGGCCTTTGTATCAAGGCCTTTTCCTGAGGAAGGACAATGGCAAGATGCCAAGCTCTTTAGCAATCAAATCCATTGGATTTGCTCTGCTTTTACCTGCTTTTTTTTCTTGTATTAAATTTTTATTAATTTTCGTTTTTGATTACCCTTACCATGTAACCTGATTCCATGATTCATACTTGAAGAATAAATGAAATGATGACTTTTATTTTTACAAGGGTGATCATGAAATTAAAATTTTAGACTGATTGAATGTCAATTTTTAAAAATAATTGCATGAACTAACTAAATTGAATTTTGAATTGAATAAATTAATTATATTTTATGCATGCCGGATTCTATAAATGAGTTCTACAAGCAGTATCATTCTAAACATATATGTAAAGTTGATTGCTTCAGCCTAATTTATGCTATGGAGTAAAAACAAAAAGGGTTGGATTTTTTTTTTTTATATCAGAATTCTAAAAAATTTTATCAATGTATTTTTATAGTACTTCAAGTTGAAACCTATTATTGTAATCGCCAATAGTTACTAAAATGTTAAAATTTTAATTTAAATAAGCAAGGCTCAATATTTAACAATCTAAAATACCAATAAAATAAAAAAAAAATTGTTGCTATTAAATTATGTATTACAAATATGCTTAAAGAGTTTGAATCTCACTTCCCTTCTAGTTGTAGGTTATACAAATAGGTAAATAATTATAGGGACGGATTCAGAATTTTTTATCAATGGGATTAAATATTTTAATTGAATTTATTAAAATCTTTATTAAAATACAAATTAATATAAAACTTTTCATACAAAATTAAAAAGTATAACAACCTTTTTTTATAAAAAATAAAAATATTTATAACATATATACAATATTTGTATGTCTAAAATTAATATTATATAGTTCTTGACAAATAGATCCTAACACTACATTTTACCATAGACAAAAAATTTTTTCGACACACACATGTTAACTTATACACACGCATAAATACGTATATATATATTATTTTAATAGAATTTTACTTATAAAATTATTAAAAATGGATATAATATACAAAAGAATAAAAATCAATATGTCTAATTTTATCATTAAGTAAATAAATATATTTCATTTTTTATTAATTATAATGTGAAGAATAACAATTGCATTTTTTTTATATACAAAATCTATATTAGTTAAATATAATTTTTTATTTTATATTTTTATTAATTCACACTTTGTATATTATTTTTATGAACTCTAAAAGCTAGTATTTTATAATGAAATTGCTTACCAACAAAAGTATAAATTTCAATTACTAGATAAAATAAAAAGCTTTCTTGTATGAGCCTCAATTTAGTAGGAGCAAATATGATAAAAAAATTTTGATGGGGCAAGCTTTAAATTTTAAAAATTTATGAGATTTTTCTGTAATAAACCTAAAGAATTTTGGAATCTTAGAGGGGGCAGCAACCCCACTTTCCTCTATGGTCATATATAGTATTACGAGAATATGCTAATGGGGCAACCAACCAAGTAAAAAAATTGTGAAGCTATTGGATTGGTGGATTAAAATAGTCAAGTCTTAACCATGAAATCTCATCAATCTTCCATTTCTAGTGGACACTTGACATTAATTGAAATAAAATATTAGACACTCTTTCTTATTGCGGCCATTAAAGCGGTTGTTGACTATATAGTATTTCAGGACAGACTTTTTTTGTGAGTAGATGAATTGTCTTTTCATTTGATTTATTCAAAAACCTTTGAAAATGTAATCTATATGCAGACGGGTAGATAGTTGTCTATTGCTTTTGAGAAAGAGAGAGATGGGGAATGATGGATACCTCCCTTTGTTTGAGACAAAGAGAGCAAAAGGAAGGGCCCTTTACAGGGTCTTTGCAGGGTCTATGTTTGTTGGTATATGTTTGATTTGGGGTTTCAGAGTGAGTCATGTTCCAAGAGAAGGAGAAGATGGAAGATTGGTTTGGATTGGTTTGCTTGCAGCTGAGCTTTGGTTTGGTTTTTACTGGATCCTCACTCAAGCACACCGGTGGAACCTTGTCTCTAGGCACACCTTCAAAGACAGGCTCTCCGACAGGTTTCCTCTTCACCCTTTTCCATATATTTAAATCTTGTTAATGAATTTTGTTATGTTTGTGATCGTTTAGTAAGTTTAATTAATGAACAAAAATCAAACTTCTTTACAAATTATCTATCGAACACTCAGTTTTACATGTAAATGAATTGAACATGAATAAATTTTGTTATGTTCATAATCTATTCGTTGAAATGTTATTTGTAATCGTTGTAATGTTTTTGTGTGTGTTCAGATATGAAAATGAGTTACCAGGAGTGGACATCTTTGTATGCACAGCAGATCCTGTGATTGAGCCACCATTGATGGTTATCAACACAGTTTTATCAGTTATGGCCTATGACTACCCACCGGAGAAGCTTAGTGTGTATCTCTCCGATGATGCCGGTTCACATCTGACCTTCTTTGCTCTATTGGAGGCGTCTCAGTTTGCTAAATATTGGATACCATTCTGCAGAAAATTCAATGTAGAGCCAAGATCACCAGCAGCTTTCTTTGACTCAATTTCTAATTCACATGACTCCAAACAGGATAAAGAATTAGCAATCATAAAGGTAATTGATTTGTTTACCGGTTTTCCCATATTGCTGTCCATATATATATATATATATATATATATATATATTGTGATGTGTGAACAAGTTGCTGGGTATGAAAAGCTCATCATGACGTATTTGGTGTTGAAATAATAAAAGGGATAATATCCCATTTGGTCCTTACACTATTATAATTTTTCTAATGTGGTATCCAAATTAAAATTTTTTTTAATAAAATACCTAAACTTTAGTTTCATGTATTAAATTACTCTAACCTCTTAACACCATTGCAATAATGTTGATGTGATAATTAAATGCTAATGTGAATGACACGTGATTATCATGTGATAATGATATGAATGTTACATGTCATTTTTAAAAACTAAAAATAATAAAAAGCTTTTTTAAAAAAATTATATTATAAAACTTTTTTTTTTTTAAAATTTTGATAGCCATATCTAGATCATGTGATAATTACATGTCATCCATATCAATATTTAAATGTTACATCATTATTATTTTAACAATGTTAAGAGTTGAAATAACTATCACAACAGATAAAGGAATATTACGATGATTTATTATGATAAATATAAATATGAACTTATATTTTTGAGACGTATTTTATGAGATAAAATTTAAAGACTTTCAGATCAAAACATTTTATAATTTTGCCATAAACGACGCACAAGTAAAAATTATATACCAACATACATATACCATAATAAATCCTTGCAATGTCTTGATGTGAGATAAGAGTATTACATATTTACTGTTAATTGGTTTCAAATTTCAAGGTATTGCCAAGCTTATTTCCAAATGCTTCATTTACTACTATTTTACTTACAAGTCTTGTCATATTTTGAAGTCTGTTTTAAATCTTATTCTGCTACGTTTCCTCCATAGAAATTATATGAAGACATGAAGAACCAAATTGAAAATGCAACCAAGCTAGGCTGTCTCCCTGAAGAAGTGCACTTGAGACATAAAGGCTTTTCTCAATGGGATTCATATTCTTCTAGACATGATCATGACACCATTCTTCAAGTATGTGAAAATTGAGATATCAAGTTTTATTTACTGATAACTAACAGTTAAAGCACTCTGAACCAATTCATCATAAATTTGTTGCATAACTAAATTTTCCCAGATATTGATTGATGGGAAAGACCTGGATGCCAGGGATAGTGAAGGATGCGTGTTACCAACTTTGGTGTACCTGGCTAGGGAGAAGAGACCCCAATGTCCACATCACTTCAAAGCTGGTGCCATGAATGCGCTGGTACTTTGCCTTTCAACATGCAACTTTTTTTTTTGTGGCAAATACATGTATTTGTTGTGTTTTATGTTAGAAGTAAGAACCTATTCATGGATGCAACCGAGCCATTCTATATATCAATGATTCTTCTGATGCCACTGAACCTGACAGCCTAACTCAACATGCAGATAAGGGTATCATCAGGAATTAGCAATGGCCAGATTATTCTTAATGTGGACTGTGATATGTACTCAAATAATTCACTTGCTGTGAGGGATGCTCTTTGCTTCTTCATGGATGAGAAAAAGGGCCATGAGATTGCTTATGTACAGTTTCCACAAAATTTCGCAAATATTACCAAGAATGAACTATATAGTAGTTCATTAAGAGTACTGAGCGAGGTAAATATTCATGTAATGTTTTGTGCTCTACGACTCCAATAAATGTTCCATTGTTTCAATGTGAATTCTGTTAATGCTGAAAATGATAGGTGGAATTCCATGGTTTGGATGGCTATGGAGGCCCCCTTTATGTTGGAACTGGCTGCTTTCACAGAAGAGATACACTTTGTGGAAGAAAGTTTAGGAGGGAAATTGACAACAAATTCAGTGTAGCAAAAGAAAGAAAAAGAGAAGAAACTGCACAAGCATTGGAAGAGAAATCAAAGGCCCTTGCCAATTGTACTTATGAAGAGAAAACTGAGTGGGGAAAGGAGGTATGTCATTACATCTCTCTTTTGTTCTCCCTCACTCAAGAACACATGCCAGTGTATATTTACACACTCTTACTCTCAGCTGATTGCTTGTTTAATTTCAGATGGGACTGAAATATGGGTGTCCAGTTGAAGATGTGATCACAGGTTTATCAATCCAATGCCAGGGATGGAAATCAGTGTATTTCAATCCGGAAAGGAAGGCTTTTCTAGGTGTTGCACCAACCACACTTGCTCAGACACTGGTGCAACACAAGAGATGGTCTGAAGGTGACTTTCAGATCTTACTTTCCAAATACAGTCCAGCTTGGTATGCCAATGGAAAGATCAGCTTAGGCCTTCAGTTAGGATATTGCTGCTACTGCTTCTGGGCTTCTAACTCCTTGGCAGTGTTATACTACTCTATTGTTCCTTCCCTTTATCTTCTAAAAGGCATTTCCTTGTTCCCCAAGGTATGTTACTTTTCATTCTCATTTGCAGATAAATGATAGGTTTAATCTGTTTTTTGCATACTTCAAGAAAGGAGGGCCTTACCATCGGAATTCGATTCGTTGAAATCCATTGGTAATGACAATTTTTAGTGATGGAAAAACACAAATAACTGGTATTGACTTAATTTATGTATTATTAACATATCCAGTGTTCAAGTCCATGGTTTCTTCCATTTGCATATGTTGCAATTTCCAAGTATGGTTGTAGCCTAGCTGAGTTTCTATGGAGTGGTGGCACAGTCCTTGGTTGGTGGAATGATCAAAGGATATGGCTTTACAAAAGGACAAGCTCCTACCTCTTGGCCTTCATTGACACCATTGCAAAATCATTAGGACTAAATTCGGATTCAGCATTTGTAATCACAGCCAAAGTTTCTGATCAGGAAGTCTATAGCCGATATGTCAAAGAGATAATGGAGTTCGGAGCCTCCTCTCCAATGTTCACTACACTGGCGACAATTGCATTGATAAATTTAGTTTGCTTGGCTGGATCGATGAAGAGAGTAGTCATGAATGAAAGTATTGGTAGAACTTATTATGAGACAATGCTTTTGCAGGTTATTCTATGTGCCATTCTGGTTCTCATCAACTTGCCTTTGTATCAAGGACTTTTCTTTAGGAAGGACAATGGCAGGATGCCAAACTCCATAGCAATCAAATCAATTGTATTAGCTCTGTCAGCTTGTACTTGTTTTACCTTCTTGACTTAAAATTTCCTGTTGTTTATTTTGTTACCATTTTTCTGTAACTTTCATTCTAAAGGTTTGAAGAAATAAAGGATACTACATAGCTTGGTTCATATGGTTCATACAGTCAAGATAGCACCTAATAGGTTTGGCACCTTTATATGTAGGACTCTATTTCATGGTCAAAGGCAACAAGGCTATAGGCCTTTTAATTGGCAAATCAATTGGGGCTGGACCCCACAATCCTAACAACAAGATCATTAGTGCTTAAATTATTCCTTGGCTACATGACAGGATCATATTCTATACAATTAGATAACATAAATCTTTCAATATTATTAGCTACAAGACAGGATCACTTGACTTATAACTGCTTCCTGATTGGTTTGTATATAAATTTGGATGGACCTCACAAAAGTACTATGTTTCTATGTAATCTAAAACAGGCAGGGAGCTCTACCTGATTCCTCTTTGTGGCAAATGAACTAGAAAGAAAATTTCAAGTTTCTGGTGAGTTGTACTTATGAAGAGAACAATCAATGAGCAAAGAGTGTCTTTCTCAGTTTCTCTCCCTCTCCCTCTCTCCCTCTCTTATCTTTCAGACAATTGATTCATTTGAACTAAGTCAATGCATGAAAATTGCAGACTGGTCTGAATTATGGGTGTCAGTCCAGCCGAAGATGACATAACAGGATTATCAATTCAATGCCAAGGGGGGAAATCAGTTGACTTCTCCAACAGCTGCATGACCTGTTAGTAGAGTGCTGAATTTTTAGTTTTAGTGACTAGATTTGAAATCCTGCAGCCTCGAATACCAAAAAAATGGAAATCAGTAAGAATCTAGCGCTCTACCAACGGTCTACTTCTTTACCTTAGACACTAGTGTAGCACAAAAGATGGAGTGAAGGTAAGTTTCAGATTTTTCTTTCTAATGACAGTCCTGTAAGTTTGGTTCGCACATGGAAAGATAAGTTTAGGCCTTCAAATTGGATATTGCTGCTACTGCATCTGGGCTCCAATCTGCTTGTCTACACTTCCATGTTTCCACAGGTGATTTTTCCTTTATGGTTTGTTCTACTTTGACCATATTTTCAACTATATTTTCTACTCATACACAAGCAAGCTGAACCTGTTTTCTGTGAATCCAGTGGTTAAGTCCCTGGTTTGTACCATATGCAAATGTCATAGCTTCCAAGAACACTTACAGTCTGATCAAGTTTCTATGGTTTGGAGGCTCAATGATCAATCCTTGTCTGCTGTAATCGCCAAAGAATGTGGCTGTGCTGAACCTGTTTTCTGTGAATCCAGTGGTCAAGGCCCTGGTTTATACCATAGCTTCCAAATACACTTCCAGTCTGATCGAGTTTTTTTGGTCTGGAGGCATAGTGGAGTAACCAAAGAAAGTGGCTGCACAAAAGAACAAGTTCCTATCCCTTTTGGCTTCATTGATACCCGTTTTAAATTACTAGGATTTTCTGATTCTGAATTTGTGATCACAGCTAAGATAGCAGACCTGAATGTTCCGAAATGTTATGAAAGGGCGATGATAGAGTTTGGAGCCTCCTCTTCTTCTCCTATGTTCACTGTCAACTACTGCATTTACTTTGCCTGTTTGGAATTAAATCGGATAATTTGTATATTCATATTTTGATTCGTGTTAAATACGTATAAAATATAAAAATTATTGTTACAATTTGTTTCAATAAGTCAACTACAAAACATATTTTTTAGATTTTTACAAAATTTTCACTTTCATTTTTTTTTTTTTATATTTTATCGTTGTATCTTATTTAGAATCAGTTGGTCTACTTGAAGTGGTGCAGAACATGACCTTAAATAATGATCCAATAAGCCAATACAAGGCATGGCCCTGCAATATCTTTTGTGTAGTCTTTTGGTTCTAATCAATTTGCCATTGTGCCAATCCCTTTTCTTAAGGAAGGATAATAAGGGTAAGATTCCAAGCTCTATAGCTGTTAAATCAGTTGTGCAAGCTCTTTCTGCTGTTACCTATTCCACATTTCAACATTAAATCCAAGATATTTGTGAAAATTTTAATTATTATAGTGAAAATTTTAAATTTAATAAGCGAGATGAAGAAAATGTTTCATGTCATATTTTTTAATTATTTTTTATTTTTTAAAAATTCCACTAAAGATAATTTCTAATTTTCTTTTTTGTTTTCGATAATTAATAGTAAATACAAATTTCTAAATCGAACTAAAGGGAAGAAAAAAGGCAATAGGGCCACGTAGGACAAAAAAAGCTGTTACCTTGTACATGAGATACAGGTGATTATAACCCTGTTGGGACAACCTCATCCGACTTGAAGTACCCAATTCTTGAAACTCTTTCTCTGTTAGTGTTCCTGTTCCTCCAGAGATCTAATCTTCACATTCTTGTCAACTCTCCAAAAAAAAAACCCAAAAAGGTAAATTTTATTATTTTTAAATAAAAATTTAAAAAGTTTTGCTTTGACTTTAATGGTTTTGATCTTGTTTTGAATTATTTCCATTTATTTTCTCCCTTTTCATTCAATTGTAAGTCTGATTCACTTTGTTTATATACTTTTTTTTTTTTTCAATATTGTGGGGTTTGCTTGGAAAATTTTCTGGTAGAAAAGGGTATTTTTCTTTTTAATGTTTTTGGTGGAAAATTTTTTTCTTGGTTTTCATCAATTATGATCATGAAATTTGAAGAAAAAAACAAAAGAATTGATGGGAAAATTGTCTGGGTTTTCAATTTCATGACTTGTTTAGGGAAAATATTGAAGAACAGCCTGTTATTATTTATGATTTATTATCATCTTATGAACTCTTTATTTTTTTTTTCTTGAGGTTTTCATTTAGTATTATTCTGCTAATATTTGATATTACGTAGTTTGATATTTATGCAATCAAATCAATGCAATGTATTTTCATTGTTTATTATGATGTTTCATAGGTAGGATAAATTGACTGTTTGACTTTGTAATTTGCAGATGAAAATTGGATCACTTGAATTTGTTGCTGTCATATTGCTAGCATTCTTGTGTAGTCCAAATGCAGTGTTTGGGATTAGATTCGTGATCGATAGAGAAGAATGCTTCTCTCATAATGTTAAGTATGATGGGGATACGGTTCATGTGTCATTTGTTGTCATTAAGGCCGATTCGACTTGGCATTCTAGTCATGAGGGTGTTGATCTTGTGGTAAGCTTCCTAATTGTTTCTTACAGCGAATTTGATCGTGTCATTGCCTGTCATGTACTTATGTTTCAATTGCTAACATGTCGTTCGGTTATTGCACTATAGAGATTTCGGACTTAGGGTATTGTTTAGAGTGCAAACTGCAGGTGACTAGTGTTTGGGAATGGGTGATTTTGTGAATCTAAATCAGATCTGTCGTCTTTTACTCCTAGTGATTATAAGGCTTGTGAACATCCACGAATCCATACCTCCATACCCTCCTCTGGACATCCACGAATCCATTTACTTTCTAGTCCAACAATGTTCTCGTGTGTTGGGGTTTATTGATATATTTTTCAAGTTGTTAGCCTGGACTAGAAATGGAAACAGATTCCAAATTTCCGAATTTCCGACTTTGTGAAACCCACTGGCTGTGAAGGCAATTAGGAGTTGTTGCTTTTCTTTCTCCAAACTTCTGTGGTGCTCTAGGTGTTAATTTTTTGTTTCAATCCGAATAATTTGGATGATGAAAATGGTGTCATATAAATTTATACTTGCAATGTTTTTAAGTCAAATAATGTGACCGAAACTTGCAAAATTGTTGGGGAACTCAAAGTCACAAAGTCTTACTGAGCTAGCTACTTTTTGCAATTGTCAGGTGAAAGGACCTTCTGGCGATCAGATTCAAGATTATCGTGACAAGATAAGTGAGAAATTTGAGTTTGTTGCTCGTCAAAAAGGAGTCCATCGTTTCTGCTTCAGTAACAAATCACCTTATTTTGAAACAGTTGATTTTGATGTTCATGAAAGTCATTTTACATACTATGATCAGCATGCAAAAGACGGTTAGACGTGTTTTATTTTCTTTAATCTTTCTTTTCCTCCCTTCTAAACCTTTAATAAAGTGTGCCAACTGTTGTTCTCATGCTTATCTGCAGAGCATTTCAACCCTCTGTTAGAACAAATATCTAAGTTAGAGGAAGCTCTTTATAACATTCAGTTCGAACAGCACTGGTTAGAGGCACAGACAGAACGTCAGGCAATAGGTATGTTTACCTTAACATTTATTTTATTTTTAATTAAAACAGTTCCGGCTGATGTTCTATCATTGATCTGCTCCTATCACCCTCGAACTAATCGGTACCAGAAACCTTTACCTTAAAGCAATTTGCGACAGTTGCGATATTCTATTGTGAATTACAATAAAGCATCCTTTGAAGTCTTAAAACTTATATTGAGTAGGTTGCTATGCTATGTTTATTAGAGCTTTTAGGTTGTGTACTAGGAAAAAATTTTCTCAATATTTTGCTCGATCAGCAACTGGGTTGTTTGTTTCATTGTATGCAAATACACATGGTTTTACCAACGGATGATTGGCTCAAGTGACAAAGAGGGTGTGCTTCCATCTTTGTTGCCTGGGTTCAAATCTGCTGGGAGGCTGTGGGAAGGTAATTTCTCATGAATTTGCTGGGTCCAACATAGATAAACCTGCTTAGACTGGTCTGGAGAGGGGATGTACGGGACAAAGTCCACGAACCCCTTATCGCTTAATAAAAATAATACACATGGTTTTTTATTGCAGAACTAATCTAAGCTTGCTAAACTCAATGAGGATGAAAAAGAATAAGGTGTAATTAAGTTGTCTTTTTGAGATGTTGGAGCTAATTTCTATATTACATAAAAGGAAAAAAAGAACTGTAATGTAAGCATTGCATAAACTGCTTTTTCTCTCTCATGAATCCTTTGCAGTAGATTACTTTTTCCTTTGACGATTCTCTCTTGACCGGAAATGCAGTAAATGAAGCTATGAGCAAAAGAGCAGTTCACAAGGCCTTTTACGAATCCGCAGCACTGATTGGAGCCAGTGTTTTGCAAGTTTACCTACTCCGACGCCTTTTTGAACGGAAGCTTGGGATGTCCCGGGTTTAGTTTTAGCACTGCGATACATTACTTTATTAGCTATAGGATCATGGAGAGTATTGTCATCTCAGGCACTTGCTATACATGTACAAAATCCCCAAATTCAGTGAGTTTATTGTTATGAGTGAGCCTTTAGATTTGCCATGGTTGAGATTTAGATCAATAATGCATGATTGGTTTAAGTTATTTCTGCTTAAATTGTTTGTGGTTTCATAGATGAGTGATGTTCATCAGCCTTAATCTGCAAACAAACTTTTTGGCTGGAATTGTTATTATGCAAAGGCACATTTTCAACACAATTTTAGGGAGCATTCAATGGTGGGATTTTCATACGCTCTGCACCCCTGCATGTTATTTACTGCCACTGAAATTAAATTTAACAATTTATGTATTCATATTTTTGTGTTTAACGCATGTAAAACGTAAAAATTGTGATACAACAATTCCTGTTAACAAATCAAATTCAATATATATTTTTATTTTTGTTAAACTCATATAATTTTTATTAAAATTTTAAATTATGTTATTTTCGTGTTTTTTATTCTTTTCGTATCGTGTTTTCAAGTCGGTTTTAAATTTATCGGATTTACTTAAAATATTTTTAAGGATTGCATCCCGAGATGCAAAATAGAGTTTCACTGTTCTTTCCTATGACAAAAATTAAAAAAAAAAAGTGAAAATGAAATTAATAGAAGGGAAGATAAGAGAAAAATAAAAAAAAAAGAACCTTTTGACAAACAAGCCAATAACTCTTATAACATGAGGAAAGAATGTCCACAAATGCTCTACACAGCTTATGACACAGAGAAGGCAAAATCCAAAGTAAATAACTCAGGCTTCTAATAGTAACCCACCAATCAGTATATATATAGATACAGTAAGTGTTTGTCTTCTTTGCTCTTTTCTCCCACCAGAATTAAATTTTACACCACAAAAAAAATTCCAGAGGGGCTTATCACAGCCCTATAGATTCTATCTTGTTTATGAATATATCATGATGGGGCTTGAACATACTTGTGGAAGCTCCTACATAGGCAGGAATTCGTCAAGATTCCGCAGGCGGGGCTTGAATGCAGCAAAGCCATTTTTTCTGAAAAACAGCAACATATCAGGAGAGAAATCTAGAAAAAGCTACAGTTTAAAACAATCATAAGAAGATGGAAATGGTGCCACATTCAAGCAACCTGCTATTTTACCCGCAGTCAAGAATAGAGATTACTTACAGGCTGGGGTTTTCCAGGATCCGTTCTAGGCTTAACATCAGGATCAGCCTTTGCCGGTGACTCAGGTTTGCCACCTGTTTTCTTCTCGTCCCTTGCCTTGTTAAAGATTGCAGTAAATCCCTCAGCTGATGCGGGATCGTTGACATCCCATTCACCAAATTTTGGCAATGGCTGACCCTTGTCCTGTTGAGCAAAAATAAAAGTAAAATGCTTCCATTAAGGTCATCGTAGCCAAAGTAGGAAGATAGAGTATACATCAAGGTAACAAAATCAAAGATTCACCAAGTAGCTAATAGCTACAATGTATTCAATTGCACATGTAACAAGCCAATCAATTATTGCACACACAGATAAATTCCAAGCACAGAATTAATTGTCTGCGCTCAATAAGCAAGGAAAGTCTAACAACAAAACAGTTACTCTAACAAATTGTTTGCCTTGACGATTCTAAACTCTAAAAACAAGGTAAAATGAAAAAAAGGATAGGATAAACCATCAAGGTACTTATTACCGTAACTGTGTAAAACAGATATTTTTTGCTTTCTAGGTATAGACTTCTAAGTTTCTTTAAACTGAAACACAACAGTAGGTCTATTCTATTCTGAACTAGCAACCAGTTAATTAGCTAACTATGAATAGAATGCGACACTTATTCAATTGACTATAATATCACTGAGAAAATCCAACCTCTAAATGCCAGTGAAGCTCCTAAATGACAGCTGCTAGATACTATAAGCCTCTTAGTTAACTTCAGCTTCAACTTAAAACAAAGTAAATTCCATTTAACAACTGCAAATTAATTAGCACGTTTTGCAATATTGAGGGCAAACAAATCTGAATTCAGCTGAGCTCAGATTAATCACATTACTGGTTCTTACTGCAGTCGGGTAAAGGGGCATGTTGCAGTTTGAAGTATTACTAATTCGTGGGCCTAAATAGACAGTGCAGTTTAAATTAACCAAACACTGGTTATTGATCACTTACAGAAAGCAATCCAAAAAACTCCTTGTCTAAGACCACAGAAATTGACCATGATCACTATTTTTTCAAATAGGAAATGTACATGAAAAACAATCATAAATGGTTCATGCAATAACTGTTCTAAACAACTGTATAATCACTAACTTGTGACAATTTTTATTCAAGGGAGACGTTAGGTGGGTAGAGCAATCATAGAAAGCCATACCTAGATAGCAGCAATACATCAATTACACAGTTAAAGTAGAGCCCTTCAAAATGAGCAATAATTGAGTACAAATCACAATGATCATTAAAGGAGATAAAAATGACCACATAAAAGCATATGACTTTAATATAAAAACACAACCAGGTAATTTGAAATGATCACATTGTCAGAAAGACACAGCGAAACAGCTTAACTTATCTTGAAATAAAAAGTAATCTGCAAAAAAGTCGAACTTGAATTGACGTAACAATCAAAATAATATCAGGTCATTGAAATACAAGTATAAATTAGTCACATCTTTCAAACTAAACATTGCCATAGATTTTAAAAAGAACTCTAATTACTTATTGCTGGTCACTTGAATATGAATATAAAAGATTCATCTACTTCCCCTTACTGGATGCCACCTCTTAAAAGTGGTTGTAGAAGCAACCGAGCTAAGCAGTTTATGATTTGTCTACTTCAGAATATGAACAAATTTATAGAATTATGACATCGACGATCAAGACTTCATTTGCAGATTAGAATATCAAATACTACACAAGTAACAATACATGCCCTCTAAACACTCCCAACAAAAGCTAATTTTCATCACAGAGCAAACTTCAATATCTTGACTGTTGATATGTTCTCAAAAGAACTTTATGGCAATCCTACCTTCTCCCTCCTTACTTGCTGGATTCAATAATTAATCAGAAACTACATTTTCAACACAAAATTAATGGCACATTAATTGAACCTTCATGATTCCTACTAAGACCAAGATTCTAAAACATGTCCAAACAACTTATCCATTTGCTAATGCATCTCATATTTTCAATATAAATCTAACTTTCAAAGTTCTAATTGAGTAAAATCAACTTCAAGAAAAAAAAAAGCAAAATTTCCAACCATAAATCATGTTATTTTACAAGTAAATTGCTCAAATGGTACACAATTCATCAGTTAAACAAAACAAAAAGCTCAAAACCAGCTTCCAGAAAAAATCATTAGAAAAAAGCAACAAACGATAAAAAAAGGGTAAAATTTTAATCATAAAAAACAAAACTTGCCCAAAATTTAAACAAAAACATCCTTTGATCAGCAATAAAAAGGAGCTTGATTCTAATTTTAAAACAAAGAAAATACAATAAAACCCAGAATACAAAACCCAAAAAGATATGAATCAAAACAACCCAAAGCTCAAATCCATTAAAAAAAAAAAACAAAAAAGAAATCAAATAAGAAATCAAAATTAAACCTTTATTTAACAAATTTAAACGGAAATGAAAGGGAAAACCCAAAAAGATTACATACCGACATGAATTCTTAACAGAAAAACTTTTCTTGTAGGCAAGAGAGACACAGAGGAATTTAGAGAGAAAATGAGAGATTTTAGAGAGAGAAAGAAAGAAGTGAAATTTTTTAGATGAAAAAATGTGAACAGAAGAAGGAGAAGCAGTTTTGAAGTCAGGATAACCGGCGTTAGTTTTGACGGTTAGCGGAGAGGGAATGGTGAGAGAACGAAATGGGGGAAAACAGTGCCGTTAATGATACCGTAATTAATGACGTGGAAGATCCACGGATAACGGGAACGGCAAGATGAGCTGGCAAACGGCGTGGTGACAGATGCTCCCAGATTATAAATAAATCTAGTGTTTGCCTTACGGTGTGAAATATAAATAATTTATATATTTGTTTAATATTTTATATAAAAATTAAGTATTATAATTATGTGTTAATACAAAAATATAAAATATAATTTTTATTATAATTTTTAAATTAATATATAATATTTGTTAAAATTATAAATTTATGTAACTTTTATTTTTATATTATTTTTATATTATATCAACGTGTCATTCTTAAATCATCAATTAATTAAAAATTTAAGAGTTTTGAGAATTAATTAAATTAATTAATTACCTTTTTTTTTAGATAAATGACTACTTTTGATTAAAAAAGGAGTATAAGAACTCAAAACCTTCAAAAATTTTTAAAGACATTTTAGGTTAATGGTTTTTATAAGATTAATTTCAATTCTTACATTATGCAAAATAAAAGGATATATATATATATGTGAATAAATAAAAACAGATATGTGTTTATGGTGTTAATTTTTTTTTTTTGGAATTAGAGGCATAAGTTGTGAAACTTGTTGTTTTTATATTAATTAATAATTAAATGGACCATTAATTATTATATTTTTTATTTCATTTGTTGCATTGAGAAAATTATTGAAAATATATCAATGTTTAGGAAAATGTTAATCAATGTCCCTAGAAATTGGTCAAAGTAATATTTAAGCAAAAAAATTACTTCTAATTAAATTTTGTCTTGTACATATTTTTTTGGGTCGATCCAAATTAGATTATGTACATCGAGTTTAATAAATTTATGAAAAATTAATTTTTTATGGTTTTTTAATGAATTCAAACTACAACAACAAAAAAAAAAAATACTTAATTTATCATATGAACCAAACATATGTTAATAAAAATAATGAATTGTCTCTTATTGGATTTGACAAAAGTAATATACTAAATATAAAAATCTTTCTTAAAATAGTATTTTGATTATTTTTAAACTGCGATTATAACACCGGTTAATCGAATCTTAATTTTTAAACTACAAATAGGTAATTTTAATTATTAAATATTAAGAATAAAAAAAAAGTAGAATCTTAGTTGGATAGTTTATAAAAGAGGAAATCAAGCCTTTAGCTTTGGCTATAACTAACAAATAGTGATTTGTGGCATATTTATTTAAAAGAATTTGATAAAGTCATATAAATGATTGCTTATTATAGCCATGAAAATGTTGTTTAATTCTTATATAAAACACAATAAGATTCTCTCTTTATTATTATTTTTTCTTCTTTCTTTCCATCTTATATTAAGATATTATTTCCTTCTTCTTGGGATAGTGATGATAAAAATTTAAAAAAAAAAAAAAAAACTATATAAAGCCTAAGCAAATGGCAAGAAAAAAGGGCAAGAAGAGACAGCATGATAGATTGTGGCATCCAATCAAACAAGCAGACAAAAAACTTTTCCCGATGACAGACCAAGTTGTTGTGATCTAAGGTTTCTTTTCTTCTATGAACCTTTGTGCTAGTGATTTTTGCACTATTTTCCTGTCTTCCCTCTCTTGTATGTTTTTCTTGAGCTGGTTTATGTTCATGATCATGAATTTCCAGGCTTAAAACCAGTTATGAAAAGGGAGGATCTTCTCATATGCAAGTTTTGATAATTTTAAACGCAATCCAATAAATAACACGTAAAAGATAAAAAAAAATCAAGTAATTTTGTATTTGATGTGTTAATTAAATTAAATACAATAATTTTTTTATATTTTATACATATTTAATATAATATAAATATACAAATTATAAAATCTAATTCGAAAATTCCATTTGCAATTTTTTAAAGAAGAGATATATGGCTCAAGATAACTACAAATGTTATAGCAAAAAACCTGAAATATTACAAAGCCAATTACAACAGTGAGCATATCCTCGTTCATGTTGCTAGATTTTTGTCTGCCATGCCATGAGCAGTAAGTAACGCATCATTTTGTAACATGGGATATACAAAGAGCTGTACCCCCCTAACCCATCTTTATTGAGCTGCTAGCCATAAGAAGCCCTTGTTCTCCTGAAAATCATGACATAGCATTATGTTGATGAAGAAAGATTTCAATGGGAAAAAGATTTAGATGAACCAATCAACTTTCCGTATTAACGTATAATGAAGTACCACGACATATAGGAATCCAAATTTTCCGAATCACTCATTTTATAATCTTTTATATCTTAGGTCTTTTTGTTTTAACATTCAGAATGAATGATTCTAAAAATTATGTCGATATTTTTACTTATTATGATTAACTAAGAAAATATTTTTATTTTTCTCCTGCAAAATTTTTAAAATTATCAGTACTTAATTTTCAATTCGTTTTTGATCATCAAAAGAAATGTGAATAACTCATTCTTCTCTTTTTGAAACAAGGGGTGCTTTGAGTTAGTTCAATGTTATCAAGTTGATTTCAAGATTGAACGTTCCGAGTTTGATCATCCAAAAAGAGAACTTTTTTTTTGAAGTGTTTTAAACTGGGTAAATTTTAAGTATATCTAACTCATGCCTGATCAGCTCTAGCAGGGAGTTTGAAGCAAATGGCTACCAGCTGCCGAGGATTTGTTCCTTGCTTGTTTGACCATGGCCCCCACCCTGTACCCTTTACCTGGCCAAAATAATCAAAGCAGCAATGTGATTGTCCAAGGCTGAAGTAAAAAACCAAATTTACATGGTATAAGATGCAATAAATGCAATAATCTAGTATACAATTATCTGACAAATTAATGAAACATTTATAACATCCATTAAAAAGTGAGGTACAAGTGAAAGGACAATTAAGAGGACTTTAATACCAACCTCCATTAACCTTCAGATAACATCTTTTTCAAGATTTTAATTCCAACATCCAACATGCCTGACTAGCAAAGTCCAAGAATGAGTCAATGTATTGTTAATCTACCCGGCAAAAGGCCACTACTGATGATCATGAGTTCAGAAAGAACGGAGCAATTCTACGTCTTTTTGCTTACAATATCCCCATCCTTGAGGTTCCACTATAGCAGCATGAAAAGCAAGAACATCAAGGTATGGGCCTTTTTGCTCCATCTCTTGATAAAAATAGAAATCAGCCTATGACTGGCCAGCCTTCAAAAGACTTTCAACTAAACAGGTGTATGTAACCTGATTTGGAAGGCAGCAGCAACTTTTCCCTTTCTACAAAACCCATTGAGAAGGCTAGTATATGTGTAATTATCAAGAAGAATACTAAATTGATTCCCACATATTCCCTGATTTGCAGGTCTCAACAAGTATAGTGTTGTAGACAAAATTATCTATAGCAAAGGGATGTTTTTCATGGTCCTTTTAAGTAGGCTGCCATATGTGAAAAAACTGGGTTGTTACCTAATTTAACCATCTCATCAAACAAAGAAAATGCTTTCAGCCCATCACCCTAGTTTCCATAGTCACTTATAGCACAATCAAATGTAATGAGATCCTCAGCTTCTCTTACTTTTCCATCTCTTCAAAGAGAAGCAACCAACATGTTACAAGTACAATGGTCAGCAGCAGCATGGCCACTGCAATTCATAATTCTGTAGATTTTCAACACTTCTGTGACCCATACCATCACTCAATTCGAACTGAATTTTAATTTTTAAGCTTAAACTCAACCAAAATAAAAGTCGAATAACTAAAACTTGTTTTATTACACCCCTACCGTATACAACCAAAACCCATCGCATTTGTGCTCATAATTCTCTCAAAACACTTCTTGCTAAGTCAAATTTGGCACGCTTGTATAGCCCATTTAAAAGCTCTCCATAACTGACTTCATTAGGTCGTAATCCAACTTTTTCCGTAGGATCATCATGATTAGTCTTAAAGGCTTCTTCAAAGTTACCCTCTCATCATTGGAAGATATCCTTTTCTTTCTCATCTTTTCTAACAATAAAGTTTCTGCACTTTTGTCATTTTCTACACAAATCATCAACAAGCATATTATATGCACATGCATCTGCTTCAAATACCCTTGGATCCCATACGATCAATCAGCTCAAAGGCTAATTCATATCTCCCCTTTTTGCAAAACCAATTAAGCAAGTAACCATAGTTGGAACATAATCTCAACAAATAACCAACTTTAATTTCTTGAGCCTCCCTTTAGCAATACCTTGAAAAATGACCAAACCAACCCAACTCTCCTATGCTTCACCATTGAACCTAACATCATATTACAAGTATACAATTTCATCTTCCAATCATATCAAGATGAATTTTGAAGAAAGTAAGGTAGGCCACTCTAGGAATTCGGATTGTGGTAGGGCCGCGGTCATAAGAGACGGCTGGTTGCCTTGTGGAATTTTGAACAAGTCTCCTCTGAGAACTGGAAATGCAACCTTTTCACAAGACACTCTTCAGCATGGTTGTGATTTTGTTCAGATTATCATTCTAGAAAAAGTTACATAAATTAACATATACTTCATGTCTGATCATGATTTAAGTAGGGATGATAACAGTTCCAATCAAATCGAATTTTATTTGAGTTTTTTAGATAAATATAATATTATGAATTTTTAAAATCTAATCTTAATCTGAATCAACATTCTTTTAGATTTAATTCAAACCAAATTATATCAATTAAATTTGGTTTATCGACTTTTAAATTTTTATTTTTTATATATTATTTTAATAAAAATTTTCATATATTTAAATAGATTTATATATAAAATAATTATGTTTATTTTATAAAAATTTAAAACATATAAAAAATATATAATTTAGTTCGATTTATTTTTTTTTTTACATCCCGATTTGAAATTTGATCTAAACTTAATATATACATTTAATATCTGAACTTGATTCAAATT